ATGCGTTTTTCTGTAAGTTTATTATATGTAATTTAATAAAACAGGGAAAATTAAAGTTAGAAACTGTTAAAAGTTAACAGACGTGACTGAAGTGATAGATTCTCCTCACAGATGCCTCCCCCAGTCGATTCCTGCTGCTCCTCTTCATGAGCTCATATTAAAAGGGAATTTGAAAGGCCTGAGTTGATGTATCGCTGTGTAAATCACCCCACCCGTCCAATCAGGCTGACCCCTGGCATGAAACAAGCACCCATAAATACTCGACTCCAAACCTGCAGGGCTCCGTATTTATAATACGTCTGACGGAGGGTGAAAACTAAAAAATTACACCGTTTGGTTGATAACGAGTGGCCCGGCAGCTGTTTAATCAGGCTTAAAGGTCGCCGCGGTGTGTTTGCGGGAGATTAAAAATGTTTTGCTGGGGGGAATTCGGTGAACCGGACAGCTGGAGGTAAAAACTCTGATGACCTGCAGGACTGAAGCTGCCTCCATAATAAACCACAGCAGAGCTCATACAGAGCTGCAAATCAACAGCTGACACCAGATAAAACACTGTCGCACTTCTGCTGACACTGAATTTGGCTGATTACAGGTTGTAACATCTAAACTCGGACTGATCTGTTCTACCAGAGAAAGATTGAGGCTGTGGCTTCGTGGACTATTTTGGGAGGAAAAAAAAAAAAAAAGTTCACGGCCGGGAAATGACTTCACAGCAGCAGGAGCAATAAATTCTTCCATAAATGAATCAGAAAAGCCAAAGTCAGGTTTGATGATTCAGCAGGTTGTGTTTTATGTCCTCTGAATCTGACTCGTCATTTATCACACAACAAGCAGCGTCTTCATACTGCAGCCACTTATCATGTGAATCAGTCCAGCTGTTGACAAATCATCACATTAGAGGAACACGGACGGAGTTTAGAGGGAAAAAGCAGCAGGTTAAGAAGTTTTAGTCACCAGGCTGCTTTTGTTTTACAATATTACCTCTAAGGTGCACATATATGACTGCATATAGATAGGAATAAGCTATAATTGTGAAAAAAAATAATTAAAAAAAGATTGTAGGCTGTTATCTTATTCATGTCTGCGTCAACTGAGTGTGAACAACAGTTTTTCTGTCAACCACAGATACAGAGAGAGTCTTCTTCCTGAATGGGTCGAGGGCAGCATTTAAAGCTAAAGTTGTAGTAAAAACATTTTTGTGGTGTTTTGAGCAGAAAAATTGAAAGACACACTGTGGGCACATACGACACTTTCATTACTTTTCTGAAAAAGGGCACACTTAAACAATTTTTAAATAATCCTTTCAACCAACTGTTGACCACGTTAATAATTACAAATCAACTAATTATAGGGTTGAATCATAAACAGTGTTTTTCCAAATGCTGATAAAACTGTTTTTTTTTTTTTACAATTAAATGTAATGTTTGCTGCAAAATTCCATCCATCCATCCATCCATTACTATACACCGCTTAATCCTCACTAGGGTCGTGGGGGGCTGGAGCCTATCCCAGCTGACTCAGGGTGAAGACAGGGGACACCCTGGACAGGTCACCAGTCTATCACAGGGCTACACTTAGAGACAGACAACCAAGCACACTCACATTCACACCTACGGACAATTTAGAATCACCAATTAACCTCAACATGTTTTTGGACTGTGTGGGAGGAAGCTGAAGAACGCAAAGAGAACCCACACTGAGAACATGAAAACTCCACGCAGAAAGATCCCGGTGTCCGTACTAGGACGCGAACCGACGACCTTCTTGCTGCGAGGCAACAATGCTAACCACCGAGTCACCTTGCAGCCCCGCTGCAAAATTAAGTAAGCAAAAATCACAACTTTAGGTAAAATTGTTCCTCAACAATAGCAGCTGTTTAATACTTCAGCTTTGTTCGGGCCGTTTTATACTTTATATAACCTGTAACAGTATTAAGTGATTTGATATCAGAGTAATCCTCATATATGGTCGACATGATGGATGCGCTTGTTTTATGGACCATTACAGGCAGTCAACAAACACACCTGTAACTCCATTTCATTAAACTCTGAAAGGCTCCACCTGCTGGAACACACAGGAACAGCAGAAAATCTACATTTTTTTTTGACATAAATGTTCTTATATAGTGTCTTTTTAATGACCAATTTAATCGATTAGAAAGATTAAAAATGATTTCTTTGTTGAAGACAGTCCTAGCTGTCACAATGAACAAACAGCAAAACGTCACTGCATAGACACGTGGAACATATGAGGTGTGTCAGAAAGGTTCTAAGACTGGTGTCACAAACTCAGACCCAAACTACAAACTACCAGTTTTCCCCTTCAGACGATCAACCAGCACGTCTACAAAGAGATCCTGCAGCGTTTGCTTCATTCAGTGTGCGAGAAGAGGTGAGAGTTGTGGCAGGACAAGTCGTGGCTGCTTCACCATGACAACACGTCTGCTCACAATGCCCTGAGCATCCCACAGTTCCTGGCTGAGAAGAACATCACTGTGCTGGAGCAACCTCCCTTCTCACCCACCTGGCTCCGTGACATTTTTTCCTCTTCCCCAAGCTCAAGGGGGTCATCAAGGGGACCTGTTTTGAAGACGTGGACGACATCAAGATGGCTGTGATGAAGGGGGTGCAGAGGATCCTGGAAGAATCCTTCCAGGAGTGCATGGCGGCGGGGCAGAGACGGCTGGGAGAGTGGTTAGACTCCAGGGGGATTACATTGAAGGGGAAAACTTGTAGTTTGGATTTGAAGTATATCTTTTGTGACACCAGTCCTAAACTTTTCTGACACACCTCATAAATGCTTTCATCCTTTTGAGCATTCAGTGGAGCTATTCATGAAGCACATTTTCACAATGAGTGCTTTTAATTTTGATCTTTTCACAGTTTTTGGGTCCATGTAAAAGAAAAAGTTAGTGGAAGAACTACATGTTTATGCCTTTAAATTTACTAAAAATTGAAGCTTTTAATTTTACTTTCTCACCTTTTTCATTGGTGGATTTTGTGGATATGTGGATATTGGTGGATAAAAATGCTTTTATCCGCATATGGACCAAACTTTCACTGTATCTCATTAATTTCACTTACTATTTACTGATTCACTGACTATTGATTGTCAATTTGGCCAATGACTGGTTAAGAAAATGTGTAAAATAAGCATCACTCGTTCAAACACTTGTAACACATGTTTTCCAGACTAGTGATTGTGTAAATATTGCCCGTCAGCCTTCAGAAAGAAGGACAGAAGTCTTGTCATAGTGTTGTAAAGCTGTAAAATCACTGCAGACTGTGGTTCACATCACGTCTCCTTCCAACAACCAGCGTTCACAAAGCATCTGAAACCACTGCTGGTGCCATTTTAAAGGCTGTTAAACAGTTCTGAGATAAGCAGGGAGGGTGAGGGCAGATTAACACTGGGCTGTTGGCCTGCAGAGCGTTTCACTTGTCAGCTGCATCAACACCTCGCAGTGAGAAGTCAGAGTATCAGCT